GCAGCAGGCAATTTTTTAGAAGACAACAATAAATTTGTAACTTGTACATCTGAAGGTATAACAATTATATCTATATACATAATAATTATTTAAATTAAAAAAATAAATGCAAAATAAAAAATTATATAATGTCATTAACTTTTATTAACCATAAATAACATAAAATATGTTTTTCTGCACTTATTTTTTAACGTCCTGCATCATCTGTAAAAATAAAATATGTTAAAATTCTTATTTTTATAACATAAATTAATGTTTTTTAAAAAATTTATTCTAAACTTAATTAAAAAAATACATTTTATAAACATATTTCTTTTTACAACATAAATACATACCTTGTAGAAACGTTAATACCTCCGATACACGAAACTGATCTATTAATCCATATGTAACGTCTTTTGACAAACGAAAATGCATAATAAAGTCTATATTATCATAATTGTGGACGATATTTTCAACATAACTACCCAGACAGCACAAGTACGTTCTATGAATATTCATAGTATAATATTAGAGAATGTTTGAATATTCCTAGAATATTCTTACATTATGATCGGTGTTCCTGTAAACTTCCAGTGGAACATTAGAAGTAGACAAAAAGTCACGTTCTGTGAACGTTCTATGAATATGCTATAGAATATTGTATAAATATCTTAGAACATATATACTGGAAGGGGCATAGCTGACTTGCCGTTGTCCTCAACATCTATCTATCCTTGTCTGTACATTTTATTGCAATACGCATGCGTCGATTATGTTGATGTGTGTGATGACAAACTAGACAAGCTTATCTATGACAAGCCTTCCAATATAATCAAGTCTAAAGAAATAATCATAAAAAAGTATACAAAACTAATATTATTTAAACTTCAATGAAGTTTTTAAATATTTTTTTTATTATTTATTATAATAATTTTTATTGTACTAGTTACTATATATACAAGATATAATTAAAATAAGATAACAAACTTTAGAGGAGCGAGAATATTACATAATAATAAATATTACTTTTTTATTTTTCTATTAATAATATATATTTTATATCAGTAACAGTGGGTTTGACGGACATATGTTGATGTCAAATTTTTTTCTATGTTTGGTCTCGCTCCTCAAAGTTTGTTATCTTATTTTTAGTTTATCCTGTACATCCTGTATATAATTATTATTCATTACAGTATTTGTTTTTGGTTATGTGCATCATTTATTTTTTATTTTATCTTGCAAGACTATTATTACATATTACTACATATTTATTATATATAATTTTATAATA